TGACATGTGCCCAGGAATCCCCATCCTCCAGGGCTCCAGGGAAGGCAAGTCCTCCTGTGCTCCAGCCCCTTTCTGCCTCTTATCCTCCCCTTCCCAGCCCCAGCCCTGATTTTGGGTCATGACCTTGCTGAGTACAACAGGGCCAGAGGCCGAAGAGGCTGCCTCTGGTGGCAGGAGCCACAGTCTCTTGAGGGAGGAAGCAGGAAAGGCTGCCAGGTCCACTCCTGTGACCCTGCCTGGCGGGGCGTGGGAGAGCAGAGGGCACAGGGCAGAGTGGGCAGGGCTGGGAAGGGCTGAGAAGCCAAGCTACCAGGCCATTGCTGGGAGGGGCTGCTTCCTGTCTGCCTCCCACCAGGGCGGTGAGCCAGCGGGGAAGGAGCCACCTGTGCCCTTGCCCTGCCTGCTCTGATGCCCAAGAAAAAGTCAGCACCGGATTGTTGTCAAGAAGTCTGTCTTCCAGCCCTGGCTGGTTGGGCTCAGTGGATAGAGCATCAGCCTGCAAACTGAAGGGTCCCTGGTTCAATTCCCATCAAGGGTATGTACCTCCGTTGCAGGCTCAACCCCTGGCCCTAGTCAGGGCGTGCGGGAGGCAACCAATCGAAGTGAGAGATGTTTCTCTCTCTTTCCCACTCCCTTCCACTTCCTCTAAAAATCAATGGAAAAATATTTGACAAATAGAAAAAGAAATTAAAGAAGACGATGTTGCCATTAAAAAAAAACAACAGCCTGTCTTCCAGACTTTGACACTTGCTAAGGACCTGCTCTGGGGCATGCTGGGGGGATGGGGTGGTGGGGTACAAAGATGGGTGAGGCCCATTTCCTCCTCTCAGGGAGGTCACCCCAGACGTTTAAGTAAGAACAAACATAGCTATTACTCACTGAGCACTTTATCATGTGCCAGACACTGATTGAAGTCCTTCACGCAACTAATTGAACGTTCACAACAACCTATGAGATAAATGCCATTCTTAGCTCCACTCGACCAATGGGGATAATGAGGCACAGTGAGATCACGAAGCCTGCCCTCGGTCACACACTGAGGCACCTGGCATGAACGTTTCTGCATTTAGCCCACACACACTGCATCCTCATGCCAACCCTGGTGCCGGCGGCCCCCACGGACACATGCAGCACCTTCTTCCTGGCCCTGCCTCCTTGTCAGCAGGCTGTTAGGCTCTGCCAGGCACCAAAGTGTGCGTTAGGGTGTCGCCACTTCCATCGAACTTTACTGTCTGCATCAGTTACAGCTTTCCCCGTGGGCTTGTCTTCTCATCGATGGAAGCTGCACGCTCCTGTGGCTTCCTTTCTGTCTCAGTCCCTTGGCGAGCCTGGCACAGATAGGTGCTCAGATGTGTTCACAGATGGGCAAGTTGGGGGAGGATGCCTCAGGTCTCTGTGACATGAATAAAGTGGTTCTCAGCCGGTACTTTGGAACCGGTACTTTTAAACCTGGGCAGTTTTAACCACTATCGATGCCCAGACCCCAGAGTTTCTGATGTAATTGGCCTGGGGGTGCAGTCTGAGCCTAGGGCTTTTTAAACACCCCTGGGACACTTTAAAAAAATATTTTATTGTTTTTTTACAGAGAGGAAGGGAGAGGGATAGAGAGCTAGAAACATCAATGAGAGAGAAACATTGACCAGCTGCCTCCTGCACAGCCCCCACCGGGGATGTGCCCGCCACCAAGGTACATGCCCTTGACCGGATAGATCCCAGGACTTTCCAGTCCAGAGGCTGATGCTCTATCCACTGAGCCAAACCGGTTCCGGCCCCCTGGGACATTTCTGATGGGCATCCAATAACTCCTGCATTATCGCTGTTTTAGAATACTTGGAAGTTCAGGTGAGGGCAGGCAGTGGAGTGGGGGCGGGGAGCAGAAAGAGCTTGGGGTCTGGAGATGCACAGACAAGATTCGAATCACAGCTCAGCCACTTCCAGGCTGGGTTAGCTTGGACAAGTCAGCTCCCTGAAGTCTCACTGACCTCATCCGTAAAAGATGGAAAATAACATCTTATCTCTCTTTTTTAAAAGTCCTCACCTAGGCATATTTTTAAAAATATATTTTATTGATTTTTTTAAAGAGAGGAAGGGAGAGAGATAGAGAATTAGAAACATCGATGAGAGAGAATCATCGATCAGCTGCCTCTTGCACACCCCCAACTGGGGATGTGCCCGCAACCAAGGTACATGCCCTTGACCGGAATCGAACCCGGCACCCTTCAGTCCGCAGGCCCGACGCTCTATCCACTGAGCCAAACTGGTCTCAGCCCAGGCATACAATTTTATTTTATTATTTATTTATATTTTTACTGGTTTCAGAGAAGAAGGAAGAGGGGGAAAGAGAGAGAAACATCAATGATGAGAAAGAGTCATTGATCGGCTGCCTCCTGCACTCCCCAAACTGGGGATCGAGCCCACAGCCCAGGCATGTACCCTGACAGGGAATCAAACAGTGACCTCCTGGTTCTTTCTTTCTTTCTTTCTTTTTCTTTCTTCTTCTTCTTTTTTTTTTTTTTTTTTTTTTTAATAATATATATATTTATTGATTTTTTACAGAAAGGAAGAGAGAGGGATAGAGAGTTAGAAACTCATCGATGTTTCTTGCACACCCCCTACTGGGGATGTGCCTGCAACCAAGGTACATGCCCTTGACTGGAATCGAACCTGGGACCTTTCAGTCCACAGGCAGATGCTCTATCCATTGAGCCAAACCAGTTTCGGCAGACCTCCTGGTTCATAAGTCAATGCTCAACCACTGAGCCACACTGGGCCAGGCAATTCTATTGATTTTAGAGAGAAAGGAAGGGGAGGGAGGAAGAGAGAGAGGAGAAAGAGAGCGGGAGAGAGTGAGAAAGAAACATCAATGTGAGAGAGAACACCAATCGGTTGCCTCCCGTATGCACCCAACGGGGAATCAAATCTGCAACCTGGGTATGTGCCTGATTAGGAATCGAACCTGTGACCCTACAGGACATGGGATGGTGCTCCAACCAACTGAGCCACACTGGCCAGGACAATTCTTAGCTGTTAATTCTCCGGCCTTCTCCTGGCTTCATTGTGGAGGCAGTGTCCTTGTTGTCACTACTCTTGGGGCCTCCTGTTCTCTGCCTCCTGCTGCCTTGGTAACATGTTCAGTACTCAGTGTCCTGCTGCTGCTCTCAGGTGAGGGGCTGCTAGAGCCACTTGACCTTAGGCATAAAATGCATTTCCAGATGGTACCTCTCTAGGCAATTGCATTTGGCAGGGTCAGTGGGAAGAGCACCAAACTGAGAATCTTGAGGAGGCCTGGTCCTAGTCCCAGCTCTGCCTCTCACCAGTCGTGTGACCTTGGGCAAACTGCTTCTCTTCTCTGAGCCTGTTTCCACATTGGAAAGATGACCAGGCTGGATGAGATGAATGACAATGGCCTTTCCAGTGGCAATATTCTCTAAGTTGCCAACTATAAAATAAATAAAAAAATGTCTGCTTTGCTTCATGCAGGGGAACACTTGCTGCAAATTAGGAATTAAGTATGAATCTTAGAGGGGAACGGAGGGAGAGGCTACATGTAGATGCTACAGCAGTGTCAGCTGTGCTCAGCCTCGGACTCACCATGACTCAGGCACTAGCCGTGTGCATGAAGAAGCCGCCGGAATATTCCACCCTCCAACCATTCAGAGCTTCTCAGGGGAAGTCCAGACTCTGTGGAGCAGAGTGCTGTACATTGTTTGGATTCCTGACCCTCAGAATTGTTGGGTCTAGGGAAGTTGAAATTTTAGCTGCGAAAGGCTCGGGTGGTTTGTTGCACTGGAAACGAGCAGTGAAGGCTCCGTGGCTGTCTCCTGCTCGCTGACTCCGGAAGCAGCCACCCCTGGTCTGGGGTGATTACTCCAGGCAGCATGGTGGCCTGGGAGAGGGAGCGCAGAGCCTGCCCTGTCCTGGGATGTTGTAAAGTTGTAAACAAGGACGCTCTGGCGTCTCTCCCCAGGCTGTCCCAGACTCTGAGGTGTGGGTCAGCGGGAAGGCAGGCCATCTGTACTTGACAACACCTCAGTGTGGGAAAGGGTAAAGGGTGGAGGGGCGGTTGCACTCTGGGAGAGGTTCTGGAGGTGCATCTTACACACTCTGCCTCGTTTCAGCCTCACAATTGCTCTGTTAGACGCTGTAAGAAGGGGTGTTCCCCCTGCCTTACTGATGAAGGAAAAGCTCGGGTGCCGTGCTCAAGACTGTGAGGGGTGGTGGTGGTGGAATGGGGGGATGGCAGAGCTGGGCTTTGACCCCATAGCAGGCAGGACTCTACAACTGCCTTGAGAAGCCCCGTGGTGACTTAGGGATGGGAGCTCTGAGAAGGGAACTCCATTTCCTTTAAACAGCCTCTTATCTTGAAGGGAGACCAGGGAACTTGGCGGGAAGTTCAGCTTCTTCTTCCTCCCCCACCCCCCTCATTCCTTTTTCCTGCTGGGATTTGGAGGTGAGGAAGAGAGGGAGAACCCTCTCCCAAGTCCTTCCTTAGGGAAGGGGTGATGCTGATGCGGCTGCTAACCAGCAACCATCCCGGGCTGGGGGCGCAGAGGGCCGCGGGGCCGGGGGTTCCCACGCCGGGCGGTGGGAGGAGGGCGGTGGGAGGAGGGCGGTGGGAGGAGGGCGGTGGGAGGAGGGCGGTGGGAGGAGGGCGGTGGGAGGAGGGGAGTCCCCACCCCGCGGTGAAACGTGGTGCGAGGCTCCCAGAGGCAGCTGGGCAGTGTAAGGGCGCACGCTGGTGTCAGGGAGGAAACGGCCTATTCCCCCGTGGGACTTCCTCTCTCACGGTGTGTTTTCTTTGGGAAGGAAATACCATTTTCTGAGCGATCGTGCCAGGCTGCGTCTCACGTATCAGCCCGTCTAAGTCACTTTGCAGGCAAGGCGCGCAGAGGTGAGCGGGCTGGTCCGGGCGGCCCAGCACGTGAGCCGCGGAGCGGGTGGGGACGCCGGCCAGGTCCTGCCGGAGCTTTGGAGGTGACCGCCGGGCCCTGGGCCCGCATCCTGGGCTGTCCCGTGGGGCTCCCAGCAGGGGGCGCCCCGAGCCCCGTCCTGGGTCCCCGGGCGCGCGTCCAGCCGGCGCCTGGGACGGGGCTGGCCGCTCCGCCCCTCGGCTCCTCCGCGGCGGGGCGGGCCGGCGGGCGGCCCGAGGGCGCCGGAGCGCGAGGAGCAGAGCGGAGCCAGCGCCGCGCACCCCGCACCCCGCCGCGCCCCCTGCCCGCCGCCGCGCAGCCTTCCGCCGTGAGTAGCGCCCGACGCGCAGGACGGGGCGCACGCCCGCCGCAGCGGTGCCCCGGGCTGGGTTGGCGGAGGAGCCAGTTGCCCGGGGCACTCACCCTGTGCTCTCCGAGCCCGCAGCCCGGGCTCCTGACGCCGCCCGCGGGTCTGGCCGGCCGTGGTCTGGGCGCTGTGGCCTCGCCGGACCTGCCCGCGGCACCCCCGGGGCACACTCCGCAGTCTGGTGGTTTGATCCGGGGCCGGGGGCGGAGGGCAGAGGCCTGGCACCCAAGCAGGAGGTGGGGAACAGACCTCCTTCCATTAGGTTAGAGCCCTTGGACGGGGGCGAGGACCCCAGATTTCTGGGAAAAGAGGAGCCAGGTTTCCTCAGCATCCACCGCCTCCTCCTCGCAGGACTCCTTCTCCTCCAGCTTCGCAGGTGATGCTGGAGGCTGCTCAGCACACCGCCAGCCTCCTGTGCGGCAGGATGGAGCTCTGAGTCCTGTCATCCGGACCCGGCCTGGGGCAGAGCTGAGGTGGCTGGGGGATGAGGGAGGAAGGCACAGAAGGGTGCTGTCAGCAGCTGCCTCCGACTCTGGGCCAGCCACTGTGGATGTCTCCTGGCATGTGGGCATGATTAGCGTTTCCCTTTAGGAAAGCGAAAAGAAGGAGAGGTGAGCATGGAGGCCACACAGGTGAGGCAGATCTGGAGTGCACACTGGGGCAGGTGGGAAGGTCCCCGTGGGCAGGTAGACTGAGCACTGCCTTTGACACCTTGTCCTCTGGATCCAGCGGTAGTAGTTGGGGGTTTCTCTGGCTTCTCACTCTCATTTCCTAACCGTCTCTGTGTAAGGCGTTTCTGGAAGAATCCTGGAGATTGAGGAGTGCTGCTACCTGGGCCCCTCATAAATGTTTTCAGAGTCCTGCTCTTACCAAACCACCCATCTCCCAGGACGTGTTTTTGGCACCTAAAATGGCCCCACTGATAATTCAGCAGTTTTGGGAGAGACTTGGGCAGGGGACACAGGGGATGTGGATGTGGTTGTGGGTGGTGTATGCTGGTCTGGGGCAAGTTTCCAGTTGGTAGGAACGAAACCTGAGCTGACCCTGAGCATTTTCCTAAGGCCCCCTGTTGGATGTGGGGGTGAACCAGCAGGCTGCCCAGTAGGGCTGGATCTTCATCAGAAAGATGGAGTTTTCTCACAACAGCTTAGGCAGGTGGCTCATCTCCTCCGAGCCCCACTTCCGCCTCAGAGATTGGGATGGGTCACAGCCTCAAATGCCTGGAGGAGCTCTGTAATGCCAGATCCCCCCTCTACTCTCTCCCACCCCGTCCCTGTCCACAAGACTCCTCAGAGCCTGAATGTGATGACCCCTAATGGCGGGAGTGGGGTGGGAGGTGTAAGGGGATAATCACTCATGGCCCCTGGCAATGGTCCCACTTCAGTGACTTGCGCGGGGAGGAGGAGTGAGGAGGGGTGAGGGTCTCTGGGAGGTCAGCTGAGTAGCTGGGGCCAGTGGGGAAGAGGGCTCGATAGGGTTGAGAGACCCTCCTATGGGGGACCCTCCAGTCTGGACGCCTCCTCCTAGGTTGTCCTTCAGAGGCCAACTCTAGTGCCACCGTCAGAGGTGCTGCCAACAGCAGCCCAGGAGGAGCAGCCGGAGTGGGCTGGCTGGGTGGCTTTTAGCACACCCCTTCTCCTTTCTGGACCTCAGTTTCCTCCTTTTGTAAAACAAGTGGGTTAGACTAAATAGCAGTGGTTTTCACACCCCCATCCCCCATGAATTCTCTCACAGAACCCCAGCATCTAGTATGGATGAAGTGAAACTGCTCTGGGTCCCCTTTCTCACACTGCTGTCTCCTGGAGCAGAGTCTAAAAATCCCCCAGATGGTCTCTGAGGCCCCTTTCTGCGAGGCTCTAGGAAATCAGAAGTATTGCCTAGTACCGTGGTCGGCAAACTGTGGCTTGCGAGCCACATGAAGCTCTTTGGCCCCTTGAGTGTGGCTCTTCCACAAAATACCACGGCCTGGGTGAGTCTATTTTGAAGAAGTGGCGTTAGAAGTTTAAGTTTAAAAAATTTGGCTCTCCAAAGAAATTTCAATCGTTGTGCTGTTGATATTTGGCTCTGTTGACTAATGAGTTTGCTGACCACTAGCCTAGTGTGAGGGTTGGGGGCAGGAAGGTGAATTCAGGAGGTTCCATTAAGAGAAATGTGGGCATTAAGAGGGGCCTCATCATTGAAATGTCTGCAGCTGATGGTCTATGCCTCTAAGCAAAAGCTGTCGCTGTGTCCCTCCCCTCTGCCATGTGGTTTTATCTTTGCCGACCCAGAAACGGGCCTGTGCCTCTGGGTCCTAATTTGTGACTGTAATCCCCCCCTCAGAGTTTCTCTCTTTTAGTTTCTTGTTTCTAAACTAAAATGCAAATTCATCTTGGGGACAGATATGAGGAAAAGGCTTTTGGCTGTTATCAGCTGTTTTTGCCTGATGAGGTATCATCCTTTATGGGGCGCCTGCTGTATACCACCTACCTCAAGGGGACAGAGGTGAGACTGTCTCAACCTCTGCTCTCCTGGGCTCCAAGACCATAGGCAGGAGGGACCATCCAAACACTACTTAAAAGATTTTACATATGTTATCTCATCTCTCCCATAAGGTAGATATTAGACTCACTTTTTAACTATGTAAAACTGTGTACAAAGTAAGTATACATCCTATAAACCCATGGAACCACCACCCAGATCAGGGGGCAGCATTGCCAGCACCCAGACCCCCCTGTGTTTCCTTCCGGGCACAATCGCTCACCCAGGGACAACCACTGTTCGGATTTCTAGCTCCATAGAGTAGTTTTGCTCAAGTGGAAGCACACATTATGAAGTCTTTCATGTCTCGCTTCTTTCATTCAACATTTCGTTTGTGAGTTTCATCCGTGCAGTTGCAGATAGCAGTAGTTTATTCTCATTGTTGTTTAGTAATGCCATTGTTTTGGGAGAATGGGAAAGGTCTGTTTTGGCTGTAATATAGGCTCCGTGGTGGGGAGGGGACTAAGGTTGGGAAGGTGAGTTGGGGGCCAGACTGGTGGGCCTCGTTTGCCCTTGGGGTCCCCCTGCTCTCCAGGATGTGGAGCCCCAGGATGGGGCTTAACCTTTTGCTGAGGAGCTGGGGTTGCTTCAAATCCAGCTCGGGTCCTGATAACAAATGTCCCTGGCCCCGTGCCAAAGGCAGATCTTTGCTGTTCCTGGGGCCACTCTCAGGGTATCTGCCAACAGAATTTTTTTGGACTTTTCTGCATCCATCTAGCTGTGTGAAATCAGTAATCTCATCCCCCTGCGACCTATCCCCACCCCTGCTCCACAAGGACCCCACCCAAAAAAGTTTATTTGGAAGATGCTGGGTAGCCGTCCTGCCACCCACTGGCCTTGTCTCAGGAGACTTGCCAGGATGGGTTGGACTCCCGATTCTGGTTGAGCCACATTTGCCCGGAGGATCCCAGACTTTTCCTCAAGAAAGGAACGGAATTGGCTGTCTTAATGGCTGTGGGAAGCAGAAGCACAAACAGTCGTCTGGGATGAGTCTAACTGTAACAGGAACAATCATCCTCTTTCTTTTTTGCCCAGCAGTTTATGCCCCTATCACAATGGGCCCTTACACAGCTGTGAAGTAGGCGATATCAATGTTATCACCCCTGTTTACCGATGAGGGTAAAAGGGTGCCAACTCGCTGTGAGTCACATGGCTGACGTGCAACCAGACTAGCCCGGAACGGGCTCCTGGAGCCTGCTCCTCTCCGTGTCCCACCCTCGCCGGGCCCTGGCCGAGCAGAGGGAAGCCACAGCAGGAAGGAGGATGTGTGGTGGACCGTGAGCGCCCACAGGCAGGAGGCCAGGCGGCCTGAGAGAAAGGCCTGGAGGTCTTCAGGGATGCGTGTGCATCCTGGTAACAGAGCTCTCGTCCGCAGGGGACCAGAAATGGAGAAAAGCGGGTGAAATATACTCACCGCCGGAGCGTTAGAACAGCTCCAGCCACTCGACATGGATGAGACATGCCCTTACGTAATGGGGCCTCCACCCAGCCTGGTGAAAACAGCCTTTTGGGGTTCACGGGGCCCCGGGCGTGGTTGGTATCTGATTGGCAGGCAGAAGGAAAGCTGCCAACGCTTAGCCGAAATGAGCTCTGAGAGGCCCGTGATAATGACTCTTGACAGACACATCCACAGGCAGCGGTGTTATCTTGGCGACTTGCACACTGTGTCCTGGGCCCTGCCCTTGAGGGTGGCGTGTGGCCGTCCCAGGAAGGGGTGAGCGCCTTGGCGCGGGGACCCCAGGGCACGGCGCAGAGCTGCCCTGGCTCTCCGTGCGGCGTCCTGGGCAGCAGAGCGAGCTCCGTTCGACAGATGAGGAAACCGAAGCTCCTGACAAGAGATGAGGTCACAGAGCTGGCTGTGGGCAAAGCTGGAACCAGAACCTCAGCCTCCCGGCTCCTGACGCCCGTTGTTATTTGTCTCGGCACCCCCGCCCGGCTTCCCCTCGGGGCGATGAGTGAGAGAGCTTACAATCAGTTCAGACTCGCTTTCCGGTGGCACAGCCCGGGGAGAGCTGAGGTCATGAAAATCCCTTACCTTTTGACTGCATTTTACAGTTTATGAGATAATTTCAGGATTTGCTGTTGGCTTTTACAGTATTAGTCCCTCTTACAGTCAGGGAAGCCAAGTCTCCCACAGTTTAAATGACTCGTCCAGTCAAAAGTGGGACTGGAACCCAGATCTTCCGACTCAAAAGACGAGTGCTCTTTCTCCTGCCTCGCGGCTGCCCCCTTCCCCAGTAGACCTGAGTGCCCGGAGAACAGATCGCTGAAGTTGGCATGGTTCGGTTTCTCTGAACTTGTTCAGAGCAGATCTGAATAAGTGAGGGCTCTTTCTCTATCTCCCGAGCATATATGAGTTCCTCTAAAAATCAAATCAGAACCACACCGCATGGGTCACAGGTGAGGAAAGGTGAGAGCAGGGCAGTTCTTGAACGAGGACCATTGTGGATTGTTGTGAAATTATTCGCTCCCTTGCGGCTGATTACTTTCAGGCTCAGACTCTTCGGCTTGTGCCAGTTTACACATCTGTCCTAATCTCTCCTTCAGGGCTGTATGCTCCAGGCCTCAATGAGGAGCCCAAACATGGAGGCCTTCAAGCAGCAGAAGGTGGAGGACTGTTACGACATCGGAGAGGAGCTGGGGAGGTAAGAGGCCGGGAGAGGCCGAGGGGATGCCGGAGGGAGACGAGGACACGCTGCTCCTGGTGCCCTTGTCAGTGGATCTTGTCACAGAATTCGTGGGAAGCTTTCAGAAAAATCCTGAAGTTTATTTATTTCATTTTTATTTAATTTATTGGGGGTGATATTGATTAATAAGTGTAATAACTCTCAAGTGTACAATGATATAAAACATCATTTGTATATTGTAGTGTATGTTCACCACCCAATGTCTATGAGGTTTTTTTTGTTTTGTTTTTTGCTTAATTCATTCACTGTTTTTATTCAGCCCCCACCCCCTTCCCCTCTGACAGCTGTCAGTACTCCTGAGGTTTATTTATCGTTGTGGGAGGCTCTGCAAATAGTCATCTCTCTGAAAATAAAGACACAGGTAGAAGGGCTAGAATTAGCGAGCTCTGTGTTTTCAGTATATTCTGGCTGAGAGTTATGGTGAATCCAAACGATTCTTGGGTTATCTGTCACTGTTCTCACAAAGCCCTCCTCAGACTTTGGACTGAGACCTGACCTGTGGTTTTCTTCTTTGAGTCCCACTTGACATTCTCCAAGGCTCCCAGGATTTTGTTTCATAAGCTCAGAGCCTGATTGGGAGGTGAAGTAATCCTCCTGAAAGTGGATTTGCATTGAGTAACAAGCCCAGGAACATAGCCATGAAGGTTCAGAGGATCTCAGTTACTGGGTGTCTTTTCAGATTTGCTAAACACGGAACACAACCAGAGCTAACCTCTGAGCCCTGAAAGGAGTTCCTATATGGAGAGAAATGAAGATTTTTCCCAAAGATCTCTTCTTGCTCCATTTCTAACAGATGCTACTATTTAGATGGTGTTTTAGTGATCATAGAACAGTTGTCCTGAAGTTGCATTCTCACAACAGTGCATGAGATGGGAAATTATATATATATATATATATATATATATATATATATATATATATATATCAATACATTTTTATTGATTTCAGAGAGGAAGGGAGAGGGAGAGAGAGATAGAAACATCAGTGATGAGGGAACATCATTGATCGGCTGCCTCCTGCCTGTCTCCCACTGGGGATCAAGCCCACAACCTAGGCATGTGTCCTGACTGGAATCGAACTGTGACCTCCTGGTTCATAGGTCAATGCTTAACCAATGAGTTACACATTGACCGGGAGAAATGGGAATTGTTTTACTCTCGTTTTTTCACATGAGGAAACTGTGGTCTCAAGCGCCTAAGCTAGTTGCCCAAAGTTGTTCAGCCAGCAAGTGGCATCACCAGGTCTGGCCAGCTCAATGTGTAGCTACACATCTGCTGTGCTCTGTCCTATGAGCCCAGCCTTGTATCCTCCCACGTGCTCACCAGGATACCCAACCTCAGCCTTTCACACTCCCAGCAAAGTAAAAACCTGTGGGTTTAGGGCCTCCCTGTATCCAAGAGGCAAAGCAGGAGGCCCTTCCTCTTTATAGAGTTCGTGGGTCAGGTCTCATTCTTTACTTACTTTAATTCCCAAAGACAAAACAGAGCCAGACTCTGAGGAGAATGGGAGGTGCTTGTCCGGGGTGACTGGATGGCTGGGTGCGTGGGAGCAAGTGCTGCAGAGACCACAGGGTGATGTCCTGTCTGCCTTATTTCGGAGACCGGCTGACGTAGGCAGTCCAGGGCCCGTGAAAGGGTGCGAGGAGGACAGAGGGCCAGAAGCTGAGGGTGGCAGTAGGAGTCTGCCTCTGAAAGAGAGGCCAGGCTCTCTGCCCTCTGGTTTCTCCTGACCTCGGGGACACCAAGGGTAAAGCGGCATCCTCAGCAGCAGACCCTGCCAGTGGCATCTGATTCAGTGGCCCAACCTTGGCCACATCCTGTGTGTAGGGGTCTGTGCTAAGTGCTGTGGGTACAAAGACAAGGAGGACACAGATAGTCTCTACCTTCCTGGAGCTCATGCATGCATGTGTGTGTGTGTGTGTGTGTGGTGGGGGCCACACACATAACAAGGGTGGAGTTGGATGGGACTGGCACCAGAGCTGGGAACTGAGGAGGAAGACTTTGAAGAAGGAAGTAGAAGCCGCTTCCTAGGGATTCATCTGTTATTCCTCCCTAGTCCTGTCTTTTCCCTGCACACTGCACTGGAGCTATTAGACCTAGAGAGATCTCACATTTTCTGATTGTTCCCTGTAATGGGGTGAAGGCCCCATGTATCTCACAGCCTGGGGAGCCTTAGGGACCCACCTACTTTCCTAAAGCGCTCACCAGACGGGGAGTGGGAGAGAGGCCGTAGAGGCCTTTGGAGTGGCTTGGCCTGCTAGGATTTGTGGTCTGGAGGTCGATGAGCGGGAGGCCGTTAGAGGGCCTTTCTGAGAGCCCCTTCGTCTGACAGTGGCGGGAACTGAGGCTCAGAGAGGGAAAGGTCCTGCCTGAGGCCATGAACTGGAAATAGAACTGCCTCCAGATGACTGCCCAGCTTCTGAAGGGACAGGCCTGCCTTTCTCTCCTCCTCTTCTTTTCTCCCCTTCACATACTATGAAGGACTGCTGTGTGCCAGGCACTGCCCCAGGTAGGGGTACACAAGCAGGAATATGCCTGTCCTCTTGCAGCTTATGCTCCGTTAGTGGAGAAAAGCACTAAACAAGTGAACAAGGGCACAGATGCATCATTTGAGCATGTGGGGAGGGCTACGAAGGAGAGAGCGGTGCCCTAAGAGAGACCAGGGGATGCAGAGAGACTGAGGGTCAGGGAAGGCTGCTCTAAGCAAGCGCCTGTTAATTGGAGAACTGACGGGTTAATAAGCAGGTAGAGGCAACAGCATGGACATAAGCCCAGAGATGGGGAAGAGCCTGGGGCCTGAGTTGCTGATGGGATGCCAGTGTGGCCTCAGAACGTGAGTTGGGGGCAAGCGGTGCTAGATGAGGTTGGAGACATAGATGGGGCCTGAGGCAGCCAGCAAGCTCCCTGTCAACACAGAATGGTAAAGAAGGTTCGCCTTAGGGGTCACACAGATTGCAACCTTAGGACAACGTACTCAACCTCTCTGGGCCTCAGTTTTCTTACCTGTGTGATGGGGATAATCACAGTACCGACCTCACAGTTGTGGGGAATAAATGAGATGTTTGAGTCTATAGTGTTCCTCCCAGAGCCAAGCACAGGGTACGTATTCAGTGAACAAGAGCTTCTGGCCTTTGAAGTAAATTCGAGGCATCAAGGTCCTGCCTCCCACCTCTCCCTAGGAGAAGGGGCGGGACTCCGCAGGAAAACAGCACGTGGAGGGGGCCGTCATTCTTATTTTGGAAAGAGCTGTGTGCACGCCTGCTTCCTGGGCTATCAGTGAGCACCCTGGCCTACACTCAGGGCTTTCTTTTAAATATATTTTATTGAGTTTTTACAGAGAGGAAGGGAGAGAGATGTTAGAAACATCGATGAGAGAGAAACATTGATCAGTTGCCTTCTGCACACTCCTCACTGGAGATGTGCCCACAACCAAGGTACATGCCCTTGACCGGAATCGAACCTGGGATCCCTCAGTCCGCAGGCCAACGCTCTATCCACTGAGCCAAACCGGTTTCAGCAAGGGCTTTCATGTTTATTTTAGCTCCTCATTAAGTCCTTCCTCTGCAACAATGAAAATGAATGACAGTCACTTTTCATTTTTACCTGTACCGATGGACGACACTCACATAATGCTGAGTAAAGGAAGCCAGACTCCAAGAGCCCATAGTACATAATTCCATTTGTGTGAAGTTTGAAACAGGCCAAGTGAGTCAGATATGCCAGAAGTCACATGGTGGTTATGTGGGGGACTAATGACTAGAAATGGGAACAAGGGGGACTGGTGGGGCATAGGGGTTGTTCTGTTTCTTGACCGGGGTGCCTGTTTCACTGCTGCGTTCATGTCATGAAAATAGATCAAGCCGTTCATGTTCATGTGCATGTACATTTTCCTGTAGGTATGTTATACCTTAGCTAAAACCTTGTGTTAGCAAGCAAAGAATCTTTTACTTCACTTCCTTTTACTTCCCTTGTCTGGTCCTTGAAGCATCAATACATGTTTTTGATTCATTTGGAGGCCTTGTTTGTCCTTGTTCTACAAGTAAGAACATCTGTGAGAAACGCTGCAGCATCCAGCTTCGGATGGGGACAGCGTGCCCTGGCTGGACCGCTCCTGACCCTGCACATCTCACCTGATTTCTGGCTCCCTGGGCCAAGTGCAGACACTTGGCTGCACTCACATTTTGGCAGCAGCCTGCTGGGGAAGCTGGAGTGGTTGGAGACATGCTGGCTTGCAGTTTCTGGCCTCTACCAGACTTGGTAGCCACCTAGGGCAGAGCAGAGGTATATCAGAGTAGAGCTCATAAAGGAAAAGCCACTCGACCCCTCATTTTACAGACAAGGCTAGGATCAGAGAGAGGAAGTGGCTTGTACAAGGTCACATGGTCAGCCAGTGATAGACATGTGGGGACTGGAGGTCTGACTCCTAGTCCAGGGCCCTGGCCACACTGTAAGGACCCACAGAGTGCAAACTCATTTTTTCCTTTATTTTGAATGCTTCTGGGGAGTGGGGGAGAATATGTGGTAGGGTGGTCATTTCTGTTTGACCTTGAAGGTCAAGGGTCAGAGTCAGGAGGTGAACATTTTGGAAGGAGTGATATTCCATAGAGCAGTAGTCAGCAAACTGTCATATACTACCCTTTACCTCTTTTCACACAATATGCCATAATTGCCTAATCCTCACAGCTTCCAGCTACACGGTAACATTTAGTCTAGTCCAGTGGTTGGCAAACTCATTAGGCAACAGAGCAGCAAATCATGGATCTTGAGCCGCATGTGGCTCTCGAGCCACGGTTTGCCGACCACTGCCCTACAGGAAGGGCGCTGGTAGTTAGGTCCAGAGTTGAATACCGCATGCACAAGGACACAAGGTAATTCAGTAAAAACAGCATGCAATAATCAGTGGTTTCTTTTACTTAGATGATCAGATTATTTTATTAACATAAAATTATTGAATGTTAC